CCCCAAAACCCCAAAACCCCAAAACCCCAAAACCCCAAAACCCCTAGAGATAAAAGAATGATTGAATCAGTGTTTTATAATTTAGAATTCCCTTGCTTTCTCTAATTTTCTCTCTCTAGATCCTTTCTGATGTTCTTCTTGTTGGCTTTCTCTTTTCTTCTGAAGTTTTTCCAAATTAGTGGCATCAAATTTTAAGACATCTTTTCTAATTCCCAAATACTTAGAATAAGCTGTTGAGTATACTGACTTTAAGACATTCTGTTGACTTTGTGGGATTTCCTTAGTATCAACTTTGATGGAATTCAATACATCATCAGTCATCCAAGGATAGTTATCCAACAAATTATCTAATAGAGCTTGTTTCTTAATCCTTATTTCATCTGACTCAGGCCTTTTGTTTTCTTTAAGTTCTAAATACTTTTTCATGTTCAACTGCTTATAGAAAATTGGATCAAGCATCCTTCTTTTGACTTCAGCATAGCAAGTCGAATTTACAAAAGCAAGAACTCTCTGGTTTTTGTCTATCAATTCTTTTATCAATCCTGCTGTGTATAATGTTTTTGGAAGTATAAAGATTTCAGGAAACTCTCCATAAGCTGCAGAAACGCTTAGAGTTGTAGCTTCATCTTTTCCTTTAAGATCATCATAGTCTGGATTTTCACAAATTTTCATGACTGCTGAGTAAACGGCTTTCAATTTATTTGTAGCTAAAGTTTCTATCAATAAACCTTCTAAACAAGATCTCTGGATATTCCCCAAGTGCAACCTTGTTTCTATTGACCATGGCTCTTATGGTATTTCCTTCCATATCATAGTGTAAATGCTCCAGATTTGCTCCCCAAAGCATTGTTCTAGTGTAATGAACAATGTCATGAAGCCTCTTCAGCTCTTTCATTTTGGGATGATTTCTGATATCCTCTTGAGTCTCAATAGCATTGAAGGCTTCATTATACTCATGAAGTCTACTCATCATCTGTGGCTCTAGGTCGCGATATAAGATATTGTCATATTCATATTTTTCTTTTTCAAAAATTTCTTTCTTCTCAGAATTTCTCTTTGCCTCCTCCTGCTCACTGTAGTGCTGAGTCAGGAGCTGATCAAAATAATCATAGTCAATAATACAGTCATCAATAGATTTTACGTTTTTCAAAACCTGGAATGTTTCTTCTTTAAACTCTTTGCCAAGTAACTTTTTCATGTTGTAATAATTAGTGGGGTCTGATTGAGACACGATAACATCTGGCTGAAATTCTTCAACAGCATTTCTAAAGTAATCCCTCTTTGAATGTGTCTCTGTCGATCTCGTTGGAATTCTATGCTTTTAAGCGAATTTTTACGCAATAAGGTGCAATTTGCTACGATCTGGCCAAGATGGAGCTTTAATAGAGGTGCTAACAACTCTTTGATCTTGCATTGTCTTCCTGATCAGATATTTATAGCCCTCAATTCCTATAGGAGTTGATAGATTACTTACCTTGAGTAAAGTGATTGGTCCTACTCACTCCTAAAATGTTATCTGAAGAGTATACCTCTGAAAGATCTTGCGAATGTTCTCTTGCTAAACTGCATTATAATTCAATTTTATAAGCCACAAATGGGGTTTTGGGGTTTTGGGGTTTTGGGG